ATCATAGCTAGGACGCTAAAACTGTTACAACCCTTCATACTACGATATAACTATAGTTACACCCTTCATAGCACAATATAATTATGTTTAGATTCCTCTGATTTAAAGTATAATGATATGTTAGATTCCTGTAGTTAAAAATACATTAAAGCAATGAGATCGATACAGCAGGAGTTCACGGTCGTGCTGGTGTAGCCACAAGACTACGTGAAACTCTAACGTCATCAACAACCACAGTTCTCAATACTAACCCACCCAGGTGGTTCCAAAAATTTACCCTTTTATTGTGCATCCAGCAGACAGATAGTATATGTCTAACTGTAATTGTATTTATACATAAAATCATAATTAGTAGAATAACAACCTGAATAACTAAATCAGTGGAATGCAATAAGAGGCCCGATTCCTTTCCCTGTACTCTTTAGGGAGGAATCTGGGGCTCTATAGAAAATACTTTCACAGAGAAAATTTTGCAAATCAGACTGGATTAAAGAACAAAAAAAGACATCAATTTTAACAAGTTTTCGATTAAAATTTTTTTGTTTACCTGATCGAAAATTACTGACCACTAACAGTTATTTTGTGTAAACTAAATGATAACAAAATTTAATTGAGTAAATAATAATAATAATAATAAATATATTATATATTCTAAATAATATAATATATATAAATATATATATATAATATATATAATATATAATATATATTATTAATATATTATATATACAATATATTATATATGAATATATATAATATATATATATATATAATATTGTATATATAAAATGTGTGTGTAACCTACATATAATGATAAAAAGATAGAGAGATACATTACATAACAATCTCATATTTCACACACAACAAAACCATAACACAAAACTAATGGGATTTATCCCACCTCTCGTTTGTTTTTAACAATTACATGAGATCAAATACATTAAAACGTTTTTGCTCCCCTTGTTACCATGGTAACACACCTTGTTTTACCATGGTAAAACATACACTTTGATTACCATGGAAACACACTTGTTACCATGGTAACACACCTTGTACCTATGGTAAAAACACCTTGTTACCATGGTAAAACACCTTGTTACCATGGTAACACACCTTGTTACCATGGTAACACACCTTGTTACCATGGTAACACACCTTGTTACCAATGGTACACACCTTGTTACAACATGTTCAACTCACGCATGTTTACCGCTATGGTAAACACCCAACCTTGTTAGCCATGGTAACACCAACACTTGTTATCCATGGTATACCATCACCTTGTATTTACCATGGTAACACTACCTTGTTACCATGGTAACTACACCTTGTTACCATGGTAAGCTCACCTTGTTACCAGGTAACACACCTTGTTACCAATAGTTAACACACACCTTGTTACCATGGTAACGACACTACACCTTGTTACCATGGTAGACAACCTAGTTACCATGGTAACACCATATACCATGGTAGACCACCATATACCATGATGACCTAACATCTACTGCCACACAAGTATTACAGTTATATTTTGTTATTTGTAATAGGTGCTATAATTTGTAATGCAGTAACAAGATGCAATTAATGACATTGCTTAATGCTAATGAATTATACAGAATCTGTGTTAAAATCGAAAACAATAAAAAATCTAATATGATGAGCGAAAGTCTAGTTAAAATAACCTTGTCATTAAAAGTCAATTTTGCTACCTCGGTTATATTAGGAAAAACAGACGCGATTATAATTTCACTTGATCAACAGATCACTAACACTATAGCTAGATAAACAGGTCAACAGCATCAAAAACAAACTAACACTGAGTACCAAATTTAATTGCCAAACAGACACAACAAGTATGAGGAAGCGAACTTCAAGGTACCTAATTACTGCTAAGTGGCAATGGGGAGGGTAGCAAGTGTTAGGCAAGACTTGCCCACACGTCTCATAAGAGACCAAAAATTTGAAGCCCAGGAACTACCAGGCCTCCCAAGTCGACTACTGTCCCAATCGTTTCTGTTCCTGTTTATCTCGTTCCCGTGCACCCACCATGCCCTCTCTCTATCTCTTATTCATTTTGTTTCCACTCCAGGAACACAATAGTCATGACCACCGCTGTCCTTCCAGTTCCCGTCGGATAGTTTTACAGTCTTCACATAAATATATATTTTTTTCACAACCACACGACCAATTACATTAGTCCCTTTTCAGGACTCAGAAATGAGTTACACAAACCATTTTCACTTCAATAGGACCAAACTAATCAATGTTTGCTGGCAATTATTTTTGTTTATATATAAATCAAAAGTATAATATATATATATATTAATATCTATAAATCATATATAATTATAAATATATATATATATTAAAAATATAAATAATAATATATTATATAGTATTAAACAATATTACAATTATATCTATAGATATATATATACTATATAGGAAACTTAAATATAGGTATATATATAAACTAATATATAAACATATATACTATATATATAGAGTATATACTATATTATCTATTTTGCTGATGATACAGTGAGCTTATGGGTAGATTCTAAAGAAAAATTGCAAAGGTTAATGGATGAGTTTTAGAATGTGGTAAAAGGTATGAAAGTTTAAATGTGAACATAAAAAGAGTAAAGTGATGACAGGAGTAATCAAATGATTTAGATAAAGAAAAAATTGGATATCAATTGGGGAGGATGAATAAAGGAGAAGTGAATGTTTTTCAGACATACTTATGGGAGTGTGAACGATTGTGTCGGCGGATTTGGATTTAATGAACAGGATGAGGTTAATCCTAGAAGTTTAATGAGGGAAAAAAGGTTAAGTGAGGAGCGTACATTATCAAGGTAAATTATAGACACATGAATACATTACATAAAAAAAAATTTAAAGACATAATAAAGAAAAAAAGACTACAATAAAAAAAACAAGAAACAATAACAAAAAAGAAACAATAACAAGACTACAATAAAAAACAAGAAAAAAAAAACAAGAAAAACCTACAACAACAAACAATAACAAACAAACAACAAAACAAAACACTACAAAAACAAACACTACAATAACAAACACTACATAACAAACACTACAATAACAAACACTACAATAACAAACACTACAATAACAAACACTACAATAAAAAAAACACTACAATAACAAACACTACAATAACAAACACTACAATAACAAAACACTACAATAACAAACACTACAATAACAAACACTACAAAACAAAAAACTACAATAACAAACACTACAATAACAAACACTACAATAACAAACACTACAATAACAAACACTACAATAACAAACACTACAATAACAAACACTACAATAACAAACACTACAATAACAAACCACTACAATAACAAAACACTACAAAAAACAAACACTACAATAACAAACACTACAATAACAAACACTACAATAACAAACACTACAATAACAAACACTACAATAACAACACTACAATAACAAACACTACAATAAAAAACACTACAATAACAAACCTACAATAACAAACACTACAATAACAACAAGAAACACACAATAAAAAAAACACTACAAAAACAAACAAGAAACAAACAATAACAAACAAGAAACACTACAATAACAACAAACACTGCAATAACAAAGAAACACTACAATAACAAACAACAAACACTACAATAACAAACAAGAAACAAACAATAAACACTACAATAACAAACAACAAACACTACAATAACAAACAAGAAACAAACAATAACAAACTACAATAACAAAACAAACACTACAGTCACAGAATATTCCTCACAGACAAAGTCCTTCTCAACACTGTTATCTTATATGAAACTGTTATCTTATATGGTTCTGTTATCTTATATGGTTCTGTTATCTTATATGGTTCTGTTATCTTATATGGTTCTGTTATCTTATATGGTTCTGTTATTTTATATGGTTCTGTTATCTTATATGGTTCTGTTATCTTATATGGATCTGTTATCTTATATGGTTCTGTTATCTTATATGGTTCTGTTATCTTATATGGTTGTGTTATCTTATAGATTTGTTTGCAGTAGTTTATGTTTTGTTTACTTGTATTTAGCTGTGTCAACAAGCTGAGATAACAAGTGTTTACAGCGGCAGATGCACCAAGTGTGTCAACACAAGTACAAAACACTGAGGACAGGTGTGATAAATGAGGGAGCATGGTGAAGAAGACGTATAAGAAACACAGGTGTCAGCAACACAGGTGTCAGCAACACAGGTGTCGGCAACACAGGTGTCAGCAACACAGGTGTCGGCAACACAGGTGTCGGCAACACAGGTGTCGGCAACACAGGTGTCGGCAACACAGGTGTCGGCAACACAGGTGTCAGCAACACAGGTGTCAGCAACACAGGTGTCAGCAACACAGGTGTCAGCAACACAGGTGTCAGCAACACAGGTGTCAGCAACACAGGTGTCAGCAACACAGGTGTCAGCAACACAGGTGTCAGCAACACAGGTGTCAGCAACACAGGTGTCAGCAACACAGGTGTCAGCAACACGTCAGCTCCAACTTTGGCGAAAATCCTCGTGAGGAATGATTTATGCAAGCTCGAAGGAAAAAAAATAATACCATGGAAAATAAAATTACATTTAGTGAAATTGATAAGTAAGACGCATGTGCAGTATTTAGGTCCCTCACTCGAGGGACTGATCACCTCAAAACTACGTCGTCAAGGCTGATGGACTGATTACATCACATTCACATCCCTACTGCTTCTCCTGATTCTTTACTCGACTAAAGAAACCTGCTGTGTAGGCGAAATGTTTCGGAATAAGGATACCTAACTATTACACATGTCTTATTTATCGCAGTCAGTAACATTTCAAAAAATATTTCAGTGGCACTTCAGTGGCACTTCAGTGGCACTTCAGTGGCACTTCAGTGGCACTTCAGTGGCACTTCAGTGGCACTTCAGTGGCACTTCAGTGGCACTCTACTGCTGAAAAAGATCTCAGATGAACTATCATAATACACAATCTCTTATACAGTGTTTCTATCTTCATGTGAGTTTTCTCATTCCACGACGAGAAATTTATATTCTTCATTATTCACTAATACTAGAGACTGTGTGTGTGTGTGTGTGTGTGTGTGTGTGTGTGTGTGTGTGTGTGTGTGTGTGTGTGTGTGTGTGTGTGTGGGTGTGTGTGTGTGTGTGTGTGTGTGTGTATAAGAACGAGAGAAGATTTTGTTTACCTTTTTCTGTGTGACGGTGTGCATGACCAGCTTCATCAGTGACCTCTTAGGACTACCCTCCTGCAGAAGGTAGGTCTTCCCAGCCCCGATCACCATCACTGGCCCTTCTGTGTCCTCGATCTGACCACACCAGGGAGCAGGAGGACGAGGAGAAGGCTGTTAATGCCAGTCAGCAGCATGATAGGCAGATGGTGAGAGGGAGGTAGGAATGGAAAGATAGATGGAAATATAGAAGGAGAGAAAGAAACGTGCCTCAGTCTAGTAAAGACGCCATATTGTGCAAATATCAAAGAGAGGGAGAGAGGGAGGGAGAGAGAGAGAGAGAGAGAGAGAGAGACTCACCTGTCTGGAAAGTTGCACCTCGTTGACCAGTCTGATGGAATGAGTGCTGGTCACTATTGTCTTGGAAATCTGAACCCTCAGCTTGAAGTGCCACCGAGACTGTCCAGATAAACAATAACCAAGTTATTACAAGTAGTTTATGCATTATGAATCCTTAATGTAACTGTTGATAATTGCTCAGCTGGTGGGAGGGTCATGAAGAGGCTGAAAAGAGGCGTTTAATAAAGACAGCTTTGAAGTGTTGCGTAGAGCTGTGGTTACAGAAGAGAGGTTGCAGGATGCAAGGGAAATGACTGGTGGACTGATGAGGTGAACAGGATGGCAAACAAAAACAAGTTGACATGTAAATGTTTATGTCTATGTTAAATTAATGTAAGGTGACAATGGGGAGAGAGAGAGAGAGAGAGAGAATGAATTAAAACAGCAATAACAAGATGGCAGGAAGAGCAAATGAAAAATGACTGAACCACTATATTTTTTTCTTGCTGAGAGCAGGAAAAGAGAAAGTTTTGGGAGGTTAATAAAGCGAGGAGACCAATAAAGCAAATGGAAGTGTCTGATAAAAGTGAGAGAGAGAGAAAGAGAGAGCACGACAGACAGAGAGAGAGACACATTCTCTTTTGAAGAAATTGTTGAAAGCAGATGGTAAAATTAAGGCAGAAATCGGGTGTCAAGTCCCTGGGCGGGGGGAGACCGTGACTGACACGGTACAAGGAGAACTCCTAAATGCTAGTGTCTGGTGCATGTGTTGAATGTCTGAGTGCCATAACCAGACAAACAATGCAACCCCAAAAATAATGCTGACACCAGACAGGATTTAGAGAGAACCAGAGCAATAATAACAATAATAATAATAGGAATGAGTGAAATGGAGGGAAGAAACTTGGGAAATAGATAGTGAGAGGAATGAGCGAGGAATAAGGAAAGAAGTGGAAATAGATAAAATGTTTAAGGAGACAAGAAAAAAAAACACATGAAAAACACAAGACATTGCAGTAGGTCTACTGGCCCATGCTAGGCAGGTCTAACTCCCTTCCATCTACTTGTGTACCCGTCCAGCCTAGTGATGAAATTCACCCCAAGCTTCCCACTTCAGTAACACTGCCTACGAGGTTTATTCCACTCGTCTACAACTTTATTGCTACGCCAGTGCTTCCCTCTATACTTTGTAAATCAAATTTTGTCCACCTTGAATCAATTTGAGTGTAGACAGAGGTTAAAGAACAAGGACGAGGTGATGGTAAAGATGAGAGAGAGAGAGAGAGAGAGAGAGAGGAGAGAGAGAGAGAGAGAGAGAGAGAGAGGAGAGAGGAGGAGAGGGGGAGAGGAGAGAGGAGAGTGAGAGAGAGAGAGAGAGAGAGAGAGAGAGAGTGTGTGTGTGTGTATGTACTCGCTCACATGAAGGATGCAAAGCTGGTGGTAATGGCTGGGTTCAATCACTGCCATGAAACACACTACCATTGTCATTAACCATGCTTCTATTACCACCATTAATCGCCCACCCACAACCAGCACCACCACCACTATTAATTCCAGCACCATCATCATCAACAGTGGTCAACAGTACACCCCATACTGTACACACTACACCATCCTTTATCCTGTATACACTACACCCCTCACACTGTATACTCTACCCTCCCCCTTTGTACACTTTTCATCCTCCCTGTACATACTACACTATTTCAATGTATACACTACACTCCCACACTGTACACACTGCACCCTCACCCTGTACACACTACACCCTCACACTGTACACCCTCGCACCACGGTACATTTGACCGAGATTTAACCTCTAGTTCTCTAATTCTCTAATGGCAGACTCTGACCAGCCTCAGACCAATCTTGCAAGTTGATGGTCTGATCACTCAGACTATGTCGCACACCCTGCAACATAGGCACCACAGCCAAGCTGATCAGCAACTGATCGAAGGATCTTATGTCAGGGACCTGATACAAAGTCCTGTTAAGAAAAGCTTTTGAGAATTACTAGTAAGATCTATTAAATGAGGGTTGTAATGGTTGTTAGTGTGGTGATTGTGGGAGGGAGAGACAGAGACGGTGGTTGTGATAGTGGTAACTGGTCAACCAAAGTGGTTCTGGAGATAGTTATGGCGAGTGTAGGTACGTGTAAGGTTCTAATCTCGGAAAAAGAAAATAATCACGCACTTATTAACTAATTAATATAGATCTTAATGTGTGCGCGAACAACACAAGTCAGGAGTCGTAGTTAGCAGTAATATAAAGCCAAGACAACACCTTATATAAGTGTTCGAAGTAAAATTAAGAGGATTCCTGACTCAATTCTGGTCTTCATATTACAGACTGTACATAAATGTGCTGGAATAACATACGGAGAAGCAATTGATCCCATATATCAGAAATCTTTCCTACGAGGATAGACTGAGGGCCCTGAATCTGCACTCTCTGGAAAGGCGAAGAATTAAGGGGGATATGACTGAAGCATACAAACAAAAGACAGAAATAAATAAAAGGGATATAAATAACCTGCTGGAAATATCTAACAAAAGAGAGCCCACAAAAATGGACTCAAATTGAAAAAAAAGATAGATTTAGAAAGGTTATAGGAAAGCACTGGCTTGGCAATAAAGTTGTGATTGAGTGGAACAAACTCCCAAGTACAGTCACTGAAGCGAGAAATTTTAGCTTCAATAAACGGTTCATGGTTTGTTTGCAATCGTGTCATTACGATTTCGTGAGTCAAATAAACGGTTTGACAGGTACATGAATGGGTATGGGTGGGTGTGAGTTAGACCTGCCTAGCATGGGCCAGTAGGTTTACTGCAGTGGTACTCTTTTCTTGCGTTCTTATGATGACAGTAATGACTATTTTAATAGTGATAGTAATAGTGGTACTGGTGATTGTGGTTGTTGTGGTGGTGACCATCACTGGCTGGTTGGTTAATCTTGGCCAAAAATAGAGACTTTCCGGGTGTTCTGATGTCTCAAAAGAGACGTCTTATCCATGGAGAGACCAGCATCCCCCATGGATCCCTGGACTCCTGGATCCCTGGACTCCTGGATCCCAGGACGAACACTATCATGGTCTGACATTCTATCTCCCTCACAAAACAGGTACTATGAAGACTAATAAGATATGATGAGGCTGGATGATGAGGCTGGATGATGAGGCTGGATGATGAAGCTGGATGATGAGGCTGGATGATGATGGATGATGAGGTTGGATGATGCACACACATTATCAGGGTCCCAGACCATCTCAGAGGCCCCGGAGGTGCCACAGAAAGAACTCGGGTAATGGGAAATTGAGAGAGAGACAGAGAGAGAGAGAGAGAGAGAGACAAAGACAGAGACAGACAAACAGAGACTTGATCATCATCTAGAAAAGTTGACCACAAACACGATTACTTATAACAAGAAATGAAGGTTAGTGGTGTAATAGAGGAGTACTTTATATCAGAGTGCTAGATAGCGGAGCACTAGATATCAGAGTACTACATATCAGAAAACTAGGCGGTGAAGTGCTAGATAGAATACTAGACAGTGTAGTGCTTGATATCGGAGTACTAGATAGTGTAGTGCTAGATAGTGTAGTGCTAGATAGCAGAGTACTAGATAGTGTACTGCTAGATAGCGGAGTACTAGATAGTGGAGTACTACATATCACAGTACTAGATAGTGGAGTACTACATATCACAGTACTAGGTGGTATAGTGCTAGATACCAAAGTGCTAGACAGTATGGTACGGTACCAGATAGCTGAGTGCTAGATGGTAGAGTGCTAGATTCTTCGTATCTTACCTTGATGGTGAGGATCATCCACAAGACAATCCAGATGAAGAGATGGATGATAGTGGCGATAGTGGCCACGAAGACGGATGTGTCCAGTGAGGCGCGGTACACTACAGTCCAGTCATGTAACAGTGGCGAGGCTGTGGCTGTCATCAGTACTAGCAACGTCAGTCCCCAGCACTGAGGCCAGTAACTCCAGGCTGTCTGCTGGTACACACACACACACACACCACACACACACACACACACACACACACACACACCAGAAAATAAATCAGTCAGTAACACCTTGAGACTCTCCTTCATAAACTTATAAAATTACAACGTATTACAGAATGCAAAATGCATCTACAGTATATTTATCTCTAAGATATCTGCTAAGTACATATGAATATTTTTATGCGATAAATGACGAGAAAAACAAGAGAATGTAAGAGCTGGAAGTCAAATATCAATGTAGGGGAAGAATTCTCATGCCTGTGTCATGAGGTCAGATAATCACTCAGTGTATAAACTGAGAGGGATACTGAGTGTATGTCAGGTGTTGAAAGTGTATATACATCACTACAGGTATATACATCACTACAGGTATATACATCAACTACAGGTATATACATCACTATAGGTATCCACATACAAACTGCAAACATATATCTACCATTGTTTCCTGTCATCACGCCTTCCATCACGCGAGAAGAGGAGCAGTAAATGTAGTGGAGGGAGGGGGAGACAAGAGGGAGAGGGAAGAGCAGGAGGGGAGAAGAGGAAGAGAGGGAAGAGAATAGGAGGCGTGGGAGAGGAACCATGGGAAGGCATTAAGAGGCGTGTGTGTTGGGGGATATCAGGAGGGGTGAGGATGCTGGAGGGGAGATAACGAGGCATGTGGGAGGGGAAGTAAGGGGAGGGGAGGAGAGGGGACATGTTAGGAGGGGGAGGGGGTAAAGGAGGGAAGTTTATATTAAAGGGGTTGAAGAGCCCAGGAATAATAGGTCAATGTTGTCACAGTAAACAACTTGACTGATCATCCTTTCCTCCCTCCCTCTTCCTCTTTCACTCTCTCTCATTCGATCTCTCTCTCTCTCTCTCTCCCCCCGTTCTCTGCCTTTCCCTCCAGCCTTCTTTCACTCACAGTCGTTTATATACCTTCCTTCCCTTCTCTCTTCCTCCCTGCCTATCTCTTTTCCAGTTCCCTCCCTCCCTATATGCCATGATTGTGACCAGATCTACCAGGAGTTCATTACCTTTGTAACTAGTTCAGCTATCATAACTTTGGGGTCCAGTCCCTGGACCCATTATGTACCTTTGTAATCTTTTGACTACCGCCCACAGGATGGGTATGAGGTGCATAATAAACATATTAAACTAACTTCCCGATACTCTAAATCCGTCTACCTCTTAATGTACCTCTGGACACTTTCTAGAGTATCTTCTGAGTTAGTTAACTTCCTCAACGCTCTAGCGGAGATTATTACAAACTTACATCCCACATATTTCTGATTTCCTCCCACCTTGACAAAAAAAAAAAAAAACGTCCAAAGTGGTAAATCATTCCAATTTAGCCTCGTTCATTCAGTGGTACACTTAGGACCCACTCAAAAAGCAGTTCATTCAGTGGTACACTCGGGAACCACTCAGAAAGCAGCAATGCTCACTTAATTGTGGTTAAGTGATTAAGTATACCTGAATTAGTAAAGACTCCAGGATCCTGTAAAGCCATTAACTGACACTGATCTTAATAAAAGGGAATTATAAAGTTTAGGAAATATATAATTTGCACATAACTCTTGATGATCACCTGCTCACCCTTTTCCTCTTTCTCATTCACGAGCTACCTCTCTCCTCTGTTCTACACAGAGCTATCCTCACCTTTTCTCCAGTGTATATACATCCTACCTTCCCCTTTTCTCTGCTATTTTACCAGTCTCCCACCCTATAGCCATATTACAGAGCTACCACACTTCATTATTTAACAGAGCTACATACCTTCCCAGTTGTAATATACCAGATCTTGACTACCCCCACAGGTGGTATATCATAGTAACTATTACACCTCTCAGATGTATACCTCAAGACTCACACTCTCAGTGTATTACTAGTTAGTTAACTCTAAACCTCTCAGTGTATTATACAAATTTACACCCACCTCCCCCCAGCTTGACAAGAAATCGAAAAGTAAAAGGGAAATATATCACAAAGCCTGTCTTGGTGGGTACACTCGAACCCAACTAAAAAGGAGTAGTCTTTCCAATCTACACTGGAACCAACCTTGGAAGCAGCTTCGCTAATTTGATCAAGGCATTCATTTCCTGAATAGTAAGGCTACCAGCTTTCACTCACCCATGCATACCACTTGAATCTTTAACAAAAGGAATTAAAGCAGTGAAATATACACAAACACTGATCTCAGTGAATAGATTCAGACTACGAACCTTGGAATCCTGGCTACCCTTCATTAAACTAGCTCAACGACTCCAGTGTATCTGGTCCACTTTCAGTGGTATGATTAGAGTAAACACTCTCTTGTTCCAAGTTCGTAGGTTCCGAGTCTCCTCACCTAGTATAATTTGTGTACCCTCTCAGTGTATATACACAGAGCTATACACCTCTCAGTGTATATACACAGAGCTACACACCTCTCAGTGTATATACCCTGTGTGCGCGAGAAGGAATGAGATCCCAGACACATGTACCCTCCTGTCAGCAGGAGAAGGAAGAGTCAGTCATACTGGACCATGCAGGAGTCTGAGTGAGATAGCTTCCTGGCACTCAGGATCAAGTGAGATAGCTTCCTGGCACTCAGGATCAAGTGAGGGTCAGTGACCCCTGACATGGAAGCAGGTCATGTTAAGTCATTTAGTTACGCTCATTCTCAGGAAAGGAAAATCGGACAACTTTAAGATCCATCCTGGACCACACTGAAAGCACGAAAGGTGTAGTTGATTTTATTGTTTGTTCCTAAGAGTCTACTCACACAAAACTCTACTTTTTAATCTCCTTTTTCATAGTTCTTATTACTGTAATATTTCCATTCCAGTTTAGGAGGTCTGGTGTGAGATCCGGCCGTTAGTCAGCACTAGGAACAGTCAACCAGAGCCAGTCAACGAACAGATTGTATGGGTTCGTGTTGAGCGCTAACTGAGGTAACTTCCCAGTCACACAAGACCAGGAACAGCCAATAAAGTCAACTCACACCTGGCTGCACGAGCCTAATTGGTGCAACTTGGCATCGCTAAGCCTCAGGAAATCAACTTAAGGCTTCGTGCAAGACGAACTAATTGCTGGTCAACTCCCCGTGACCTCCAGGACAAGGAACATCGAAGTTCCTGCGAGGGACAGCAGCAGCATCGAAATCCTACGGTAGTGAAGGAGGACAAGGGAAGAACACATACAGACGTCTTCCTGCATATGCAAGATGGCTAGATCTGCTAGCTACAGCACTTACTACTACTACTACTAATAATAATAATCTTTATCTCTGCATGTAAGTGATACAACTTATGCAGACTAAAGCTGACATCAGTGACATACTGTATAGAAAGCCCCTTGTTATGCAGAGCATTTCGGGCAATTTAGGTTAATCTTGTTCCCCAAGATGCGACCCACAAAAAGTCGGCTAACACCCAGGTACCTACTTACTGCTAGGTGAACAGGGAGAGCAGGTGTCTTAAAGAAACGCTCAGTGTTTCCACCCGTAGCGGGGATCAAACCACGGACACTCAATGTGTGAGGCGAGTGCGCTACCAACCGAGCAACGGGACACCGTATGTGGCTAGTATCTGCTGGATTCACGCCAGTGTGGTGTTCTGGCCAAGACTTCTCCATGATGTTCTCTGCCTCAGTGCCTCGAAGGTATGTTTCCAGGTCTCCCAGCATCTTAGCTTACCTCTCATTTTGACTGCAAGTATTACCAGTATACCTGGAGAGGGTATTGGGGGCCAACGCCCCCGCGGCCCGGTCCATGACCAGGCCTCGTGGTGAATCAGCATGGTGATGTATGGTAGGTAGGTCATGGTGCGAGATACCCATACACAATAGTAATGGTATTAGACGCCCAGGCGATGGTACGAGATACTCAGATGATACTAAACAGGTAAAACAACCCATGTACATCCCTGGGACCTAATGTACACCTACAGTACCTACTAACTCAGCTCTCCACCTACCCACCTGGTGTCCATGCTTGCTGAGGATGTGGTACTTCTCCTTCTCAGCGTTGAGGAAGGCGTTGAACTTCAGTAGACCGTAGAAGTAGAGGACGGAACCAGAGGCGAGGACCAGAGTCTGCGACAAGCTGAACACGGCCACGCACACGGGCAGTGGAAGCAGGAACCCCTCGAACACGGGCAACACGTGTTCAGCACCCACAACGTGTACCTTGTACAGTACCTGTGTAAGGATCAGAGGGTCAGAGAGGAATAAATATACACACGCGCACACACACACAGTGGTAAAGTCTGGTACTGACCAAGATTTATGATGTAAAAAGAAAACTTCTGGTTAAAAAAAAACTCCATTAAACTCAAACTCTGGCAGAAAGAAACAAAAATTTGAGTTGAAAGTAAAAAATAACTTTCCAGACACATTAGCGTTGGAGTATTGGTACCAGACATACCAATGTTGGCACCAGTGACACCAATGTTGGCACCAGTGACACCAACGTTGGCACCAGTGACACCAATGTTGGCACCAGTGATACCAACGTTGGCACCAGTGACACCAATGTTAGTGCCAATATCTCCGCCAGAATACCAATGAGTCTGGTGGTAGCGTGTGTTACTCGCCTGGAAGCCAGTCATAGCGAAGATGTTGTGGGCGACATTGAGCAGCAGCTGGCCGAAGAAGACAGAAGCCGAGGCCCTTGTTCGTACCCCAGAAGACTCCAGCGTACCTGTGGCAGGAGCAGTAGTAGTATTAGATCATCATCCATCATCAATCATCATCAATCATCATCATCATCATTATCATTTTACCAAAAGCCTCTCAGGAACCTAAACTAGTGAGTGCTGTTTGCAGATGACATCCGTCAACTCAAATCCCAGCAGCAGCAAGAGAAAGAAAGTAGGAGGAGGAGTAGGTGACTCCAGGAACACAAGGAGTGGGGGATGAAGAATAATGGAGACATAAGAGTACACTGACATTAAGGATAAAGGCAGCTCTTCAACAACACTGACAACACACAGTAGTATTAACATCAATGTTATGTTCACAAGAGACGGCTGAACTAAACTGTATCATAGAGTACTAACATGTGCATAATGTTCAGGTGTCAGCAGGAAGATTATCTGAACACATTGATAGAAAAGGTCAGTTCGATTATTTTTGAAGACAAAGGAAAATATGACTGCATCCCCCTCCCTCTGCTACTCTTTTTCATATGAAAATTGGCTTAACTGTCTTGAGCGAACATCTTGCCCGGCGAGCGAACATCTTGCCCGGCGAGCGAACATCTTGCCCGGCGAGCGAACATCTTGCCCAGCGAGCGAACATCTCTGACCAACATGTTATTTGCCTGGCTGAAGTTTATTATAATTTCGTCATTTATTTAATTTTGTTCTTCCACCAGAGCTCTCAACACAGCACTGACACTGACCATCAACACAGCACTGACACTGACCATCAGCACAGCAGTGACACTGACCATCAACACAGCACTGACACTGACCATCAACACAGCACTGACACGGACCATCAACACAGCACTGACACTGACCATCAGCACAGCAGTGACACTGACCATCAACACAGCACTGACACTGACCATCAACACAGCACTGACACTGACCATCAACACAGCACTGACACGGACCATCAACACAGCACTGACACTGACCATCAGCACAGCAGTGACACTGACCATCAGCACAGCAGTGACACTGACCATCAACACAGCACTGACACGGACCACACACAGCACTGACACGGACCATCAACACAGCACTGACACTGACCATCAGCACAGCAGTGACACTGACCATCAACACAGCACTGACACTGACCATCAGCACAGCAGTGACACTGACCATCAACACAGCACTGACACTGACCATCAACACAGCACTGACACTGACATCAGAACAGCACTGACACTGACCATCAACACAGCACTGAAAACTGACCATCAGCACAGCAGTGACAACGGACCCTCAACACAGCACTGACACTGACCATTTAACACAAACACTGACACTGACCATCAACACCACAGCACTGACACGGAAACCCTCAACACAGCACTGACACGGGCCATCAACACAGCACTGACACTGACCATCAACACAGCACTGGGCACGGACCATCAACACAGCAACTGACACTGACCAACCACCCGCACTGACACTGATCAACACAGCACTGACACTGACCATCAACACAGCACTGACACTGACCATCAACACAGCACTGACACTGACCATCAACACAGCACTGACACTGACCATCAACACAGCACTGACACGGACCATCAACACAGCACTGACACTGACCAACACAGCACTGACACTGATCAACACAGCACTGACACTGACCATCAACACAGCACTGACACTGACCATCAACACAGCACTGACACTGACCATCAACACAGCACTGACACTGACCCAACACGCACTGACACGATCAACACAGCACTGACCTGACCATCACACAGCAGTGACACTGACCAACACAGCATGACACTGACCACAACACAGCACTGACACTGACCTCAACACAGCACTGACACTGACCATCAACACAGCACTGACACTGACCAACACAGCACTGACACTGATCAACACAGCACTGACACTGACCATCAGCACAGCAGTGACACTGACCAACACAGCAGTGACACTGACCATCAACACAGCACTGACACTGACCATCAACAGCACTGACAGACCATCAACACAGCACTGACACAGCATCAACACAGCACTGACACGCATTAACACAACACTGACACAGACCATCAACACAGTACTGAGACAGAGCATCAACACAGCACTGACACACAGCATAAACACAGCACTGACACAGCATAAACACAGCACTGACACACATTAACACAGCACTGACACAGACCAACACAGTACTGAGACAGACCAACACAGCAGTGACACAGCATAAACACAGCACTGACACAGCATAAACACAGCACTGACACACAGCATAAACACAGCACTGACACACAGCATAAACACAGCACTGACACACAGCATCAACACAGCACTGACACACAGCATCAACACAGCACTGACACACAGCATCAACACAGCACTGACACACAGCATCAACACAGCACTGACACACAGCATCAACACAGCACTGACACACAGCATCAACACAGCACTGACACATAGCATCAACACAGCACTGAGACACAGCATCAACACAGCACTGACACAGTATCAACACAGCACTGAGACACAGCATCAACACAGCACTGAGACACAGCATCAACACAGCACTGACACACAGCATCAACACAGCACTGATACACAACCCAGCACTGGGCACACAGCATCAACATCACAGCATCAACACAGCACTGACACAGCATCAAACACAAACAGTTTACACAGATCAACACAGCACTGACCCCACAGCATCAACACAGCATGACACACAGCATCAAACACAGCACTGACACACCCGCATCAACACAGCACTGACACACCCGCACTGACACCACAGCATCAACACAGCACTGACACACAGCATCAACACAGCACTGACACACAGCATCAACACAGCACTGACACAGCATCAACACAGCACTGACACAGCATCAACACAGCACTGACACACAGCATCAACACAGCACTGACACACAGTATCAACACAGCACTGACACACAGCATCAACACAGCACTGACACACAGCAAACAAACAAAAGCATGACACACAGCATTTAACACAACCCCTGACACAGCACAAAACAGACTGACACAGCATCAACACAGCAGTGACACACAGCATCAACACAGCACTGACACAGTATCAACACAGCACTGACACACAGCATCAACACAGCACTGACACACAGCATCAACACAGCATCAACACAGCACTGTCAGAGAGATTAGCGAGACAAACTTTTATACTACAGAAATAATGGAATTTGAGGAAAAACATCTTGTTATCTCAAGTCTGAGGAGGAAACTTTAAAGCTTTATCTCCTGCAGCTTTATCTCCCCTGCTCTGTCAGCTCTATGTCTCTTGCTGCGCCAGCTTTGATCAGTTGGCTCAGTTAGCTTGGTATAAAAAAATGGATATAACTCCCTTTCTCGTATTCTCATTTGATTCATTCTACCAGCCTCTGTCTGTGTATATATATATATATATATATATATATATATATATATATATATATATATATATAATATATATATATATATATATTTTAATATATATATATATATGTCTCTCTGTCTCAGCACTCACCTGGCAGCGTAAACAAGGTGAGCCAGGAGGTAGTTTAGGAAGTGGGGTGAGAATGGACCCCAGGGTATCTCTCCGACATGCCACACGTCATCCTCCTCCTCCTCCGCCTCCTCCTGCGTCGCCTCCGACGACTGCAGCGTCACTGACGACGAGGCCTCGTACCGTGACGCAACGGGTCCTGTTGATGAGAGAGGGAGGGAAGGTAGGGTAGGGAGGGATTAGACAAAGAGAGGGAAGGATAGGGTCAGATAGACGATGAGAAGGAGGGATTAGATTGAGGGAGAGAGGGAGGTAAGGTGAAGAAGAAGGAAGAGGGGAAGGGAGGGAGGTAGAATGAAGTAGAAAGAACAGGAGAAGGGAGGGAGGGAGGGAAATACGGTATAGGAAAAGAGGGAGGGAAGGAGGGAAGTAAGGAAGAAAAATTAATGATAAATCGCCTTAATAACGACCATTAACATATTCTTAAAACCATAGGGGAAGCTCTAAGTCCGTAGGGGGGAAATTAAAATCACTCCAAATCACCTCCAAATTCCCTCGCATCAAGAGCCCTTCGGCAGCATCAAGAGCCACCATCTTAATTAACAATAACTCTAGAGACTTGAAAGGTAATTAAGGCTGGTAATTTAAGCAGCCTCTCACCTGCTTCAGCTAATTTACAAACTCATTAAGGCGACGGTAACCTTAATAAGGTCATTAGATCATTTACAAGTTTATTTACAAGATGGTTAGGCTCTTTTACGCTAATTTACAAACTCGTTAAGGCAGCCGCGGCTTTCATAGGATTGTCAGATCATATACAGGTTTATTTACAAGATGGTTAGCCTCTTTTAGGCTAATTTACAAAATTTAGTGTAAGGTATCTTGGGGTTATAGACTGAGAGGGTCATTTACAGTTTTCTTTCATGATACTTTAATTTATTTACCAAAGGGCGAGAACATCATACCCAAATGGGCTCCACATTTGGTCACTGCGTTGGGCATGTGCCGCCCTGTACCTCTGTACGATGGAGGGTACAGTAGTGTACAAGGATCCAGATGTTATGTGGGAAACGGAGTGTTGAAGACAAGTGTGAAGCTTTCACTGGCATGACGTTTCGCTCAGTATAGAGCTTCATGAGGTCGTCATCACTTGAAGCTCTGCAGAAATCGGAATGTTGTCCCGATTAAGCATCGCTCTACAGCATGAGTGTAACATGTTAACTTTCAGTATACTGGGACACACAGCAGTGCAAAAGAGGTAAAAGAATTTAACAGCGACGGTGACGTATAAAATGACGTAAAAGGAGGTATTACCCTTGTAAAATGACGTACAAGGGAGGTATTACACTCATAACATGACGTACGTATGAGGGAGGTACTGAACTCATAAAATGACGTACAAGGAGGTATTACACTTAAAAACTAACGTACAAAGGAGGTATTACACTCACAAAATGACGTACAGGGAGGTAATAAACTAAAATAACGCACAAGGAGCAATTAAACGGACAAAATAACGTGAAGGGTTTTAAAACGAATAAATTTGCATACAAAGGGGGTTAGAAAAGGGCGAATGGTAAGCTGTAGAAAGATGTGTGAATGGTGAAAAAGGGTAGAGAGGTACGTGGAAGGGTACACGGTATGTACAAGGGGAAGGAGGTGCGGTGGGTAGAGAGGTACGTGGAAAGGTACACGGTACGTACCAGGGGAAGGAGGTGCTGTGGTACCAACAAGAGCAGCCAGGGAGTCGAACATCTCCAATCTCTCTTTCTGTGGTAGCACGCGAGACAACTCTGACCACCATACTGTACCTGCAGCAGAACCTACAGTTAAATACCTGCACTAGTGGTTAGTACCTGAGGGGCCACCTCTAGTTAGTACCTGAGGGGAGCCCCTGTAGCTAGCACCTGAGGGGGGTCCATAGCTAGTACCTGGGGATACCTGAAATTAGTAACTACTGTTGCTAACTGCAGCTAATACCTGAGACCTGTGTTAACTATGTCGTTCTGTAATCAGAGGAAGGTATTCCCTTATTTCATAGCCTCATTTCCCTGCTCCTCAATGTACGTGATTGGAATAGTGCAGAAAGCGGCATAAGTTGGTAATGCAATGAATATTTGAAGAGAATCAGAAGAGACATTCCCACGTCTTCATATGTAAATCAATATCCATATGCCATCACGAAAAATAATGAAAAAATGGGACATACACAGCCTAAATATCATTTAAATCCTTCAAAGAGATCACAAAGGCCAGTATGCTAAAATACACAAACACATTAATAGATAAATATCCTGGCACTAAGATGCATCAGTCATTAAATACTGAAGGCGTTCAGAAGATGTAAACTGAAAATTATTGATTAATTTAATTAATGTTGATAAAATCGTCACACTTTTTTACATATAAAATTGTCACATGTACACCTATACATTAGAATTTCACTCTCCGTCTCTGTTGAGTTTTCAGGCATCTATTGTGAACGTTTGAAGCTCCACTGCTGAGGATATTGGAAGTTATCTCAGCCATTCCAGGATGATGGAAATAGGTTCAACAACTTAGGTCATAGGGAAAGTGAACGTGATTATTGTCCCTAGAATCTGGTCCTCGTAACCGTACTTAAGTGTTGAATAAAAAAATCAGGCAATTGGATGAGGGATTCTCGAGTCATGAACGAAATATAATTGAAAAATTGGAGGGACAAAAAAGAAAAATCCGAGGCAGTTTTTTTAAAATTCCCCCTTCCAGAATATCTAATTACTCTAATGACTTTAAATACAGTTTAATATATCCTGCTACCTCTGTCAGCCACACAGTCATCCCCTCCACTGAGTTACCCCTTCAATTTCCAGCAGTCAGTCTATTAGCCTGTCAATCTGTCAGTGTTAGCAGGCGAGGGAGTGCTCCGTCCGCACAGTACGCTGAGCACAGCACCACTGGCACACTGCCCGCCATCACCCATGTGTCTCTATGTATTATGACACAAGTGTCAGCCTGGCTGCTGCCGCCTCCTGACACATGATACACAGGACACTCATTGCTCTTTTATTTTCATTTTTGTCAGAGCGAGGCTTCTCCTCTCCTCCCCCCCCCCACCTCTCTCTCTCTCTCTCTCTCATTTTTCACGTATTTTTCTCGTATTTCTGACCGTGTATGTTCCGCGTCTCTCACTGGGCTCCTCTCCCAATGCATTTCCCCTTTTATCTCTATCTTACTCTTTGTTGGCTCTCATTCCCTCCCTCTCTCTTTGTCTTTCATTTTTTCCCTCTTTCTCTTTGGCTTTCTTTTATCTCATTCTCTCTATCTGTCACCCTCATCTAGTGCATTCTTTACCTTGATTTTCTTATTCCCATCTCTCCTGTCTTCCTGATTTTGCTGACCACATAATAAGCAAATATGACAGTCAAGACGAGACTAATGCTTTGTTGACAGTCAAGGCGAGACTAATGCTTTGTTGACAGTCAAGGCGAGACTAATGCTTTGTTGACAGTCAAGGCGAGACTAATGCTTTGTTGACAGTCAAGGCGAGACTAATGCTTTGTTGACAGTCAAGGCGAGGCTAATGCTTTGTTGGCAGTCAAGGCGAGACTAATGCTTTGTTGACAGTCAAGGCGAGACTAATGCTTTGTTGACAGTCAAGGCGAGACTAATGCTTTGTTGACAGTCAAGGCGAGGCTAATGCTTTGTTGACAGTCAAGGCGAGATATAATATCACTCAAAAAATAATTTGTTATTCTGTCGAGACTTTCTGTGTGTGTGTGTGTGTGTGTGTGTGTGTGTGTGTGTGTGTGTGTGTGTGTGTGTGTTGTGTGAGAGAGAGAGAGAGAGAGAGAGAGAGAGAGAGAGAGAGAGAGAGAGAGAGAGAGAGAGAGAGAGAAAAAAAAAATGAGGCCAACTTGTGTCATGTTTATTTTTCACCCTGAGAGAGGGGAAGGGAGGGATAATGATGGAGAATGAAGGAATGTTAAAATATATAGGAGGAAATATCCAACAATAATGATAGGAAATATTTAATATATCAAACAAGAACACCCATGATAAACAAGCGGTACGACAGTATTCCCCGAGTTTTGTTAGCCGTTGCCAGACGTAAAAGACAATTAATTAACATTCACAGCGATAAATTAAATTAAAATGTCATTAAAACACAAAATAAAAATTTAATGTGCTTCTATGCACCACTAGGAAAAACAATTAATTTTTAATGTATAATTACGTATCATTTTTTCACAAGCTTAATTTTATTTCACGGAATAAAAACCTTAAGTTATGGGAAACTGAAGAAAAAGAATTTTAATAAATATTTTCATTTTGTTTTGGGTAATATATTTATTTTTTATCTTACTGTGGCTTCTATTACTGTTTTCTCAGTATTATTATTGTTTTTTGCGCTCACCTGTGTTGATTGTTGATGTAATTGCACTTGTTTAGTAATAATTATTAACTATACTAATACTATTGCTATTACTACTACTAATAATAATAATAAACGAACAGAAATAATAACACTTATAATGCTAATACTACTATTAATAATAATATTTCTGTTCTTTATTACTACAGAAATATTATGTTCACACTTACTGAACTTCAGTTTCTGGAAGAAAATTTTAAATTTAACATTATCATTAAAATACCACCTAAAATCACGAAACAAATAATACTAAACATTTACAAAATAACATTCAACAAGAACAAAACATAAAAACATCATATCAACATTAAAAACATTCAACATTTTATAATAATTGATGGGTAACTTATGTATTCATTCAATCACGTTTCCTCGTCTCCATAAAAAAAAAAAAATAGCGATTTCAATGGATTTCAGGCGAGAGATTAGACATATGTAGACACGTCTAATAAAAATGCAGCATTCAAATGCTAATGGCTGATTTCAAACGCTCCCAAATGCTCCATTTCCCGCTGATATTAAATGTGACTTTTATTTTTTTGAGGTTTTTCATGGTGGAAGTGTGCAGTAAAATTTTACATTACAATAAAGTATGCAAAAAAAGGGGGAAGAGAAGTAAAGAAGTGGGGTGGGGAAACGGTGAAAGGGAGAGAAGAGAAAAAATGGAAATGAGAGGAGGTAGACGTGAAAATTTTGATCGTCAGTATTGTCTACCTTAGTACTGTCTACCGGTCAGTATCGTCTACCTTACTGTCTTCCTATCAATATTATCTACCCTAGTACTGTCTACCTGTCAGTATTGTCTTAGTACTGTACCTCACTGAGCATTGTATCTACCTCAGTCAATACTGTATCTACCACAGTATTACATGGGAAGCTTGACAGTCTGAGGGTTAAAGCCAGCTGTACATCCTGACAGCTGTACATCCTGACAGCTGTACATCCTGACAACTGTACATCCTGACAGCTGTACATCCTGACAGCTGTACATCCTGACAGCTGTACATCCTGACAACTGTACATCCTGACAGCTGTACATCCTGACAGCTGTACATCCTGACAGCTGTACATCCTGACAGCTGTACATCCTGACAACTGTACATCCTGACAACTGTACATCCTGACAACTGTACATCCTGACAGCTGTACATCCTGACAGCTGTACATCCTGACAACTGTACATCCTGACAGCTGTACATCCTGACAGATGTACAACCTGACAGTTGTACATCCTGACAGCTGTACATCCTGACAACTGTACATCCTGACAACTGTACATCCTGACAGCTGTACATCCTGACAGCTGTACATCCTGACAGCTGTACATCCTGACAACTGTACATCCTGACAACTGTACATCCTGACAACTGTACATCCTGACAACTGTACATCCTGACAACTGTACATCCTGACAACTGTACATCCTGACAACTGTACATCCCGACAGATGTACAACCTGACAGTTGTACATCCTGACAACTGTACATCCTGACAGATGTACAACCTGACAGTTGTACATCCTGACAACTGTACATCCTGACAACTGTGCATCCTGACAACTGTGCATCCTGACAGATGTACAACCTGACAGTTGTACATCCTGACAGCTGTACATCCTGACAGCTGTACACCCATGACAGCTGTACATCCTGACAGCTGTACTCCTGACAACTGTACATCCGGGACAGCTGTACATCCTGACAACTGTACATCCTGACAGCTGTACATCCTGACAGCTGTACATCCTGACAGCTGTACATCCTGACAGCTGTACATCCTGACAACTGTACATCCTGACAACTGTACATCCTGACAACTGTACATCCTGACAACTGTACATCCTGACAACTGTACATCCTGACAACTGTACATCCTGACAACTGTACATCCTGACAAACTGTACATCCTGCCCAACTGTACATCCTGACAACTGTACATCCTGACAAATTGTAATCCTGACAACTGTAATCCTGACAGCTGTACATCCTGACAGCTGTACATCCTGACAACTGTACACCCTGAAAAAACTGTACATCCGACCTGTACATCCTGACAACTGTACATCCTGACAACTGTACATCCTGACAGCTGTACATCCTGACCGATACTTCGTCTGGTATTTTTGGACAAGGAAATAAGAGCCTAAATACAGAACTTTTTCTTCATTAAAAGTCTTGCAGAAGTTCAAGGACATACACACCTACACTGGACCAGGAGCTGTGAATCGACACCCACAACCACAACTGTGTATACACACACACACACACCCACACACAATACACACAATACACACACAATACCACACACACACACAATACCACACAATACACACCACACACACACACACAAATACACCCCACCCACACAATACACACACACACACAATACACACACAAT